CTTCTCTCTCTGTCTCTTTTCTGCCCTCACTCTCTATCTTTTTCTCTTTCTCTCTCTCTTTCTCACTATGTTTGCGTTACTCACTCTCTCCCTCCCATCTTCTCTTTTTACTGAGCTCCTTTCGATTTATTGATCCACTACAAGAAAATGCACTTTTAGCGACCACTTTGTCTCTTCTCGCTCATCACTCTGTCTCTCTTTCTCTCTCTCTCTCTCTCTCCTCTATCTATCTCGCACTCATCTCTCTTTCTCACCACCCCACTCTTCTACCACCTTCACCACTACTGCAAACGCCATTCACCACCACCACTACTTCCCATGTCGCCACTTCACCTCTATGACTACCACGAGTACTACCATCGCCACCACTCCACTACCCACCACCACCCCACCACCAACCACTACTACTACTACTACTATTACCTCTCATCTACCGCCGCCATTCAGTCTCTCATACCACTACCATAACTTCATCACTAATCTCCTTCACCACCACCACCACCACACCTCTTATCCACCACCTTCACCACTACTGTCGCTTCCTCTCCTGTACTACAAAAAATTTGTTTGATTATGATTTTTTAATAGAGTGTTGAATTGAGTTTTGAATTGTATGTGGAATTGAGTTTTGAAAGTTTGATTGGACATGTGAAATAAGAAATTTTGTTTTGGTGATGAGTTTTTCAAAATTAATTCAACCTATAATTGATAATCAAACACACAACTTATAACTCGATATCCGTATTTTTGATCAACAGTCATAACCAAACTATTTTTAAAATACTCAAATAAATTTTTTTTTTTTCAATTAATTGTTTTTAAGTAATTTTTTTTGAATATTTTTTTTTCAAATCATTTTTTTTCAAACAACTTCTATGTCAATTATTTTCTGTCAATTAATTTTTTTGTCAATTAATTTTTAACCTGTATAAATATTAGAAATATTTAAAAAATTAAAAATATTTAAAAATTAAATATTAAAAATATTCCAAAAATCAAAATATTAAAAATATTCCGAAAATCTAAAACCAAACAAACCTTTAAGTTCCCCCCTTTTTTTTCCCGTCTTTCCCCCCTTTTTTTTTCATTTCCTTTCAAGTTTGTAGAGCCTAAAGTTTCGAAACAACACTGTCTCTCTCTCTCTCTCTCTCTCTCTCTCTCTCTTCTCTCACTCACGGAGGCGAGCGCCGATAAGCGATCTCACTACTTTTCTGTTCTTGGGTTTGATCTTTAATCCTTATATAAATTCCTTTAATCCTTTTTCACTGTTCTGTAGCTGATCTCACTACTTCACTGTTCTTGAGTTTGATCTAATATCTGGTGTTCCTGGAGTCACGAAGACAGAGAGGTTGGGTACACTCAGGGCTATCTTCACAACCCTAGCTACAATGATGTCTGTTCTGGGACCACGAATCACTCGAAGGTCGTTAGGGTTCAGTATGATCCCAAGGAGTGTAGTTACGAGTCCTTGCTTGATGTTTTTGGCCAGACACGACCCTACTTCGCTTAATCGTCAGGTGGGTATGTTTAATTTTGGGTTTTAATCGATGAATTTGTGATTTGGTTGTTGAATTTTGATGGATTTTGGTTGAATTGCTATGAAATTGAGTTGAATTGGTGTTTGATTCTTGTATCTCTGCTTATATGGTGAATTGGCGATTGTTTCATGGGTGAACACACACGCTCAAATTAATGGCTTATTGGTTTCCCAATTGTTAGGATAAGGATTATTCATTGTATTTTGTAGCTAGATGCTTGAATTTTGGGGCTTTTGATGGAAATGACAGGGTTTGATTTTTTTATGGCTTTTTGTTGATTTCATATGGAGACAGAGTATTTTTTTAAGGACTTGGGATCTCTTAAAATTTGATTAGCAGAAGAGAATGGGATCACTTATAAACCAGATCAAATTGTATGAGTATTCTGTTTGATTACCATGTTTTGTGTTGTTAAATGAATATTTAATTTTTTATGAAGTCAATTGATAAGTGATAATGGCTTCAAAGTCCTTTTAAAGCGGTTATCGTTGTGGCATGTTGAATTTGAAAAAAATTTGTTTATCCTCTAGTTCTAGCCATGGAGTTCTCATTTTTCTAGACATGGGTTGTTTAGATTCTAAATTAATAGGACTTCAATTGTAAATAATTATCCTTGATGCAAAGTGAGTAGTATCTTGAATAATTGAAGGTGCTTGGACTGGATTTATGTATTAATTTGTTTTATGTGTTAATTTGCTTCAGGATTGAAGTCCTATTAATTTGTTTTATGTATTCATAATTATCCTTGACGCAAAGTGGGTAGTATCTTGAATAATTGAAGGTTCTTAGACCTCATAGGGTAGGTGTACATGACATCATTTATGTTTTGTGTTTTAAATCTTGGTTCATCTATGAAACTGATGGATGTATTTAAATATGCCAGATATATTTAAATTCCTTATGGGCAGCTCTATTGGCAAGTCTATTGGCAGCTTTCATCTTTGTCATCATTTCTGCAAGTCTATTGGCAGCTCTCATCTTTGTCTCTCTCCCACTCATTTCCATTATGGTTTGATGATAGAGGTATGTTCTTTTCCTATGTTACTTGGTTTATGTGTGAAATAAATTCTGAACGTACATAAATTTGGTTAATTTATATGATAAATCAATAAATGGTGGTTTGATTCACTGGTAATTGACAGGGTTCTGAATTAGCATTGCAAGTTATCCAATCTACTAGTGGATTTTTCAGTTGTATGGACCCCTTTTGATTGTTCTTATTGGGAATAGGAAAATTAGGGTTTTTGGTTGTTTTAATTGAACTATGTTTGGCTTAGTCTTGGCAATTAATTTGGTTGTGGACAAATTATGGGAAAGGAAATTAGGAGAAAAGGGTCAGACAAGAAAACTGAAATCTTGTATGTTTTGCTTATTGTTCTTGAAAGTGAAAATTGGGTTCTGTACAATAATATTGGCTGAATTAAATTGAGTTGTTTATTTAATTAGGAACCCTATATTTTCATAGTTCTTTTTGGTCATCAAGATAGGGTTGTGCATTTGTTCTTTGTATTTATTCAGGGCAGGGTTTAGATCTTTAGCATCTAAACAATGTATTTTGTGCTACAGTTTCCTTTTGGAAATTGCCATTTGTAGTATAGTAATTCAAGTATTACAAGGAGAACATTTTGTGAGACACGCATAACGTTTTGTGCATGTATCATTGCTGGAAGACGATTTTTGTAAAATCACACATGCCAATGTACAGTAGTCCTCCTACTCCTACTACCTAATCCATCTTGCACCCAAATCGTTTGTTTTAAATTGTCAGTTATTGTAGTAGATTCTATGGCCAGAAAACCTGTTTGAACTGGCTGATACGCGACGACATGGGCTTTAAAACCTTGCAATATGGGCAGTAGGGTTGGATACCCATTGCATGATGGTTGAATCAACAGAAGATTCTTGTTTATCAAAGCTTTCTAAATCCAGGTTATGTAAATCTGGAATGATAACACATCTGCAGCATAGTTAATTTACCATTAGTTAAATTATTTTCACTATCCTCCTTAGGCCGTTAATTTTTGAGTTTTAAAAATTGATTACTTGGTGTTGAGTTGACTCACTATTTCCTATGTGGATTCACGGAGAATTTCATCAGTTATTGATTACATGTAAGGTGCTTACATTCAACTCAGTTTGTTGCTAATATTTTTGTAAGGTGTTTTCTTATGGTGGGCTTATACTTTGTGTTTTCAGGGGTCAATCTAGATATGGAGAAGGTTCTGAACAGCAAGCAGCTGTGAAAGCTAATGATGGGATAAGTTCAACAAGTGGCAGAAAGCATAAAAAAAAATAAAAATAAAAAAATGCTTGTGAGGTATTGCATACTAATAATTGAAAGCCTTGTGGTCATTGGTGCATGGGCCCAGATGGAAAGAGAGTAAGTTGAAGGCCTTTCTATGTATTCTAAATATTGTTCATTCAAATTTTATTTGCAATTATTGCAGTTTTGAGTTCATTCTCTTTGTTGATACGTTTAAGTACAAGAGGCCATACAAGTGGGGTCTGTTATGCATAGATCTAAAACAGTTGTCACAATAAGCGCTGTATGGTGGGTATTTGTTAGCAGTAAAAAGATACGAGTGATCTGGAGTTCCTAGAAAACCATTTCTGGTAGTGTTGGTCGAATCTTTGAAAATAAATGTATCGTTTATGTAGATCATGGCATTGCATACTAATAATTGAAAGCCTTGTGCATTTTGGTATAAAACCTTGAATACAGGGTTCACTTGATTGGGAAGAATAAGAATTCTATCGGTCTGATTTAATTCTAGCTGTGTAAGAGTTTATACATGTCTTACTCATTTTGCTGTTTTAGCATTTACAGGTATTTGTTTTTGTTGCTTTTGACTTTTAATTGCATGTCTCTCTGTTTACAATTTACCATAATAATCCATTTTTTATACTCTTCTTCAGGTTTATGCGGCTGAAAATGGGCAGGAGTTGATGGGTAAAATTGCATAGACATTACAGGAAGGTACACTTCTCTTATGTTTTCTCTGATACCTTCTTCTATTATGAACAATCATGCTTGCACTCGTTATTTTCTGTATTTCTTATCGGCTTGATGGTGCTCCAGCTCAATGTAGATCACATTCTTCTCCCTTAATATCTTCTGTTGATTCATTACTTTTGAGTTTTTGAGTAGTTGTGCCTTGTTTGTCGCATGAATTGTGATTCAACTACTAAAAGCACAACATTCAAATGTAGTTCTGAAGTTTGCACAATTTATTCAGTTATTTATTTTGAATAACAAGCATGACTTACAGTCAAGAGGTGTAAATTAAACCTTTCTAACCCTAGTTAACCTTCAGAATCCGGACTAAGAGGTTACCAATCATTGCGCTTCTTGTGTTTAATATATATTTGCTGCTGACAGGAGAGTGGAGCTGGGTTTAGAGTGTTAAGAAATAGTACTGCCATGATGAAGACAAACATCAATCATATTTTTCAGGTGGAAAGTTTCACCATTATTATGATTTAATTTTTGGTTCTTTGAATAGAATTTTCAATGATTATTTGAGAAGAGATCCTTAATTATATCTTTGCTTGTTGCCCATATCAAACTTGTTTCTTCCTTGCATATCTTGGCAAGAAAATTTACAAAAACAAATTTTAAAATGTTTCAGGAGAAATTCTTAGCTATAATTTTCAATTGCAGGGAGTATTGTTGGGACTATCCAATACCGCTGGAGTGCTAGCTGGTGTCTTTGGAACAGCTGCAGCAGAGGCCATGGGATTGTTCCTTCTCCGAGTGATGTGCAAAAGTTGTGCCATATTTTAGGTGAGTTTGATTTTGAAATCACAATCATATAGTTCCTTCTCCGAGTGATGTGCAAAAGTTGTGCCATATTTTAGGTGAGTTTGATTTTGAAATCAAAATCATATATTTGGATTGGATATTTATGGATTGTTTAGTATTGTTGTTGTTATGTTTCAGATATGTATGTGTATCTTTGTGTGTTTATGTTCATTTATTACAATTTAAATTGTTGGTTTTATGGTTGATCCTGTAATTTGACATAATGGGTTGAACATTGATTGTGAAGTAGTTGTTTTGCCAAATTGCCGGTGTTTTCGCGTTGTTCTTACGGAAGTGAGATATTTCTAGGGCTTTAGAATTATCCAGGAAAAAAATTGTGAGAAAGAAAGTTGCTTCATATACAGTGTTTCCCATACAAATTAGTGCTAGAAGTGGAAACATTGGTCAAATATTATTAAATTAAAAAAAGTTAATAAATTTCCCAAAAAAATTCATTTGATTCGAAACAGGTGAACGTAATCATAAAATGATTTTGATTTTGTAGTGTTTGGATTTACTTAGAGATGGATTTACCCAAAATAGAAAGTTTTTTGAATCTATATTGTGACCATTGAAACAGCTTCCTTTTCATTTCTTTTGCAAGGAAAGCAGTTACATGTGATCATACGTTGAGATAATTTAGGCTCGTGTAATGTAATGACAGTTGTTTTAGCATTTGGGTCAAATTTGAGCATTGGCTCGGGGAATTTAAGGTGTGCATTTGCATGAAACAAACCTTTTTGTTGTCCAAATGCCCCATATAATTGATCATGATCAGTTTTGCATTACCCGGAAGTTGAGTGGTTGATTTCTGACTATAGTGTGTTGTAACGTGTTTTTTTTTCTCTTGTCGAATTGTATGTCATTGTAAAATGAGGTTGTCAGTTTATGTTTGTTTGTTTCTTTTCTATTTTTAATCATTTTGTGTTTGTCCTTGATCTTATTGGGTATGTAGTAATACTTCCAGGTTGTCTTAAATGCATTGCCAAATGGGATTAAAAGCCGACATACCCGGGTGGGGTGGTTACATGAATGCTGTTATGCTTAATTATCTCTTTTTCACATTGGAACAAATGCAGATATAATTGCCATGCCGACAAACTAGCTTGTTCACTGTTTGATCATATGTTTGTGTTTAATTAGAGTAGTTACTCGTTGGATTGTCGATTGAGTAGTTTCAAACTTAAGATTACAAAAAAAAATAGAGGAATTAAGTGGAAGTCCTAATAGGTAGACTTATTAGCTAATATGTCCTAGGATAATGATATTTTTTATCAAACACTATTAAAAAATGTCAATAATTGTAAGTTTATCTAAAAATAAATAAGATCTCTCACTACCGTCCTCTTCAGTGCTCGATTTTGAAACAGTGAAGGTAAAGCATCTTCTATGGACATGGAATTAGTATCCGGAGCTAGTTACTTAGAGCCCCATTAAAAAGTGAATTATTTGTTGAAGACGGTTCATTACTAACAAAACTACGAAAAATAATTTTTCTTAGAGTAAATGTCAATTTTTCGAACTAGCATGTCTTGGTTTAGTCAAAATTAGAAAAAAACACACACACACACACGCAACACATACAAGCCTGATTTGTTATAGCAAGTGGAAAGAAAATGGAAAAGAGAAATTGAAGAGGTAATACTAGAAGCTCTAGAATAGTAATTTGGTGAAGAACTTTATAATTTTGCTTATGTTTGGTGTAATATGGAATGAAATGGACTATAATTGCTATAATTGCTTTAATTTTGCTTATGTTTGGTGTTTCATAATTTTGTGTTTTAGGCATATATAAGGAAATTTTGTTCATAAGGTTTGATAGAACTAGAGTTTGTCATAGTTTTATGTATATCATTTCACACCTAGATTCAATTAGCAAAGATTCTGAAGAAGCAAAAAAATAGCAAGGGGAGTTTAATGTGTATTTTGCTGGGAAATAATTTGAGAGAAGTGAGTGGATCTATAAGTGACACCGAAAAAACTTGAATGGTGTAGACTGTATTGTTTTAGACTAGCACAATACATTGATCTATAAGTGAGTGGATGTATACATATTACCCCTACTCTCTTTGTTATGTCGTGCTTAGTATCTAATCTTTTATTAAATGTCTTGTTTCTCAAATAATATTGTCATTTTCTACAAGTGCATATCTTGAGTTTTAGATCACTTTTTTGTTTTATTATTAAATTATTCTAGATTAAGAAAGTTTGAAATCATTCATGCCTTGATGATTTATTTTGGCTTCTACAAGGGTATCAATATCTTTTGTAGCTTTATACTATTTGTGAATCACACTTAAAATGTGTGATCTAAAGTTTTTAATCACACTTAAAATGTGTGATCTAAAGTTTTTAATCACACTTAAAATGTGTGATCTAAAGTTTTTAATCACACTTAAAATGTGTGATCTAAAGTTTTTAATCACACTTAAAATGTGTGATCTAAAGTTTTTAATCACACTTAAAATGTGTGATCTAAAGTTTTTAATCACACTTAAAATGTGTGATCTAAAGTTTTTAATCACACTTAAAATGTGTGATCTAAAGTTTTTAATCACACTTAAAATGTGTGATCTAAAGTTTTTAATCACACTTAAAATGTGTGATCTAAAGTTTTTAATCACACTTAAAATGTGTGATCTAAAGTTTTTAATCACACTTAAAATGTGTGATCTAAAGTTTTTAATCACACTTAAAATGTGTGATCTAAAGTTTTTAATCACACTTAAAATGTGTGATCTAAAGTTTTTAATCACACTTAAAATGTGTGATCTAAAGTTTTTAATCACACTTAAAATGTGTGATCTAAAGTTTTTAATCACACTTAAAATGTGTGATCTAAAGTTTTTAATCACACTTAAAATGTGTGATCTAAAGTTTTTAATCACACTTAAAATGTGTGATCTAAAGTTTTTAATCACACTTAAAAGGTGTGATCTAAAGTTTTTAATCACACTTAAAAGGTGTGATCTAAATGTTTTTAATCACACTTAAAAGGTGTGAACTAAAGTTTTTAATCACACTTAAAAGGTGTGATCTAAATATTATTAATCACACTTAAAAGATGTGATGAAAGCATTTTTTAATGACACTTAAAAAGTGTGATTAAAAATGACCATTTTTAATCACACTCCTAAAGACCACACTTTAATAAAACTTAAAAGGTGTGATTAAAAAACATACATCACACCAAAAAAGTGTGATCTTTATCTATATTTGTAGTAGTGATAATCCTTCAAAATAACAAAATCACCAACCAAACTGTCATTAACTTGCAAGGAATTGCTGTAAGTAGCCAAATTTTATTTATTTATTTATTTATTGTAAATGTCTGCAACTGGTAATACATGTGTGATGCAGTGGAATACCGCACAATGTCTAGACATCATTTTAGAATATGAGAAGGTCTTGAATCTGCAAAGAAGAAGTGAAACTTCGAAATTTTACTAAAATGAATTACCTCTGAAAGTGGTTTATATGTCTGTTAATAATAGATTAATCCTAGTTCTTTTAGTGCTGAATATTGGCTACAGATTCTGGCCATGTGATGGAAAGTGGCAGCCAGGTACATGGTGGGGAAGCCATGAGGCCATGTGAGTTGGCCATGAGGCCATGAGAAGCCATGTGAAGCATCAATCTGGAAAGCCACCGAAAGCACAACAATGGGCTGGCAGCCAGCTCATTTCAAAGACTTTCTCTTGCATTTGTAATCTCTATATATAGAGAAGCTAAGGAGAGTTGAGATGTACAGCTGAGATAACAGAGAGGTGTGAGCTTAGAGAGCAAAGACCGAAAGCACAACAATGGGCTGGTAGCCAGCTCATTTCAAAGACTTTCTCTTGCATTTGTAATCTCTATATATAGAGAAGCTAAGGAGAGTTGAGATGTACAGCTGAGATAACAGAGAGGTGTGAGCTTAGAGAGCAAAGAGAGAGAGAGATATACAGAGAGTGTTGTAATTCTTACCATTTTGTTCAATATAGTGAATCCGCTGCCCGTGGACATAGGCGACTTGCCGAACCACATTAAATCTTGTGTTATTGCTTGTTTGAGTTCCCTGGTGTGCCCCCGATCCGCAACAATTGGTATCAAAGCTCGGGTTGCGAAAAATCGAATTTTTCCCGAAAGTGCCAAGATTTCGAAGTGCTCAAAATCCACTTTTGACCATACCAGGAGGAAGAACTCCCCGAGAGGAGTCCAGAACAGCAAAAACAGAGCCCAGAAGCCTCCACACGCGCCCTCACACGCTCTCTGAACAAAGCGCGTCAGCCACAGTCGCGGCACGCGCCCACACGCGCCGTGCAGTCACCGGTGCGTGATCCCAATCGCACCCACACGCCACACGCGCGTCTCCAGGTAGAAGACGAGCCACGTGGCACCACGTCAGCGCCACGCCAGCACCGCGTCAGCGCCACGTCAGCGCCACGTGTCCGACTGACAGGCTTGACCGCGCCGCCGATCCTCTGTTGACCGCGCCGCCTGCGCCGTTGACCGAGCCGTTGACCAGCCGTTGACCGGAGAAATTATCCGATGCATCTCAGCGCACCAGATTCTGCAGATCTGACCCATCCAAAGTGTTTTTGCCAGATCGGAGCCATTCGGAGTCCGTTTTTGACTATCCAATAGTGCTTCCCAACTATTTGGAGTGTTCCGGACACATCTGTAGGGTCAGTTTTTTGAATTGAAGTTTCTAAAAAAAAAATGGCAGACTCTAGATCAACCGAGTCCGTAAGTAATTCAGCCAGTACAAGCACTTCTAGGCATTGGACCCCGGTGTCCCATGCCAAGTTCGAGGTAGAGAAGTTCGATGGAAGCAGCAACTTCGGCATGTAGAGATGCGAAGTTAAGGATATGCTTGTCCAAATGAACCTGCACTTCACTCTAGGAGACAAACCAGATGACTTGGACGAGATAGAATGGGAGAGGGTGAATCTCCTGGCCTGCAGTTCCATCCGACTTTGCCTTGCAAAAGAGGAGAAGTATGCCT